TGTGTAGCAGCGCTGAACACTTCATGCGTTTTGTCTTTGCAGAGCAATGCTTGAAAATTAAATTGTGAAAATCTTTACCAGAAAATTCTTAATGCAATTGGCACATCAAAGCAGCAAGGACAAATACAACTTAAAGAAAATTTTGTCGTGAAAGCTACATGTACAAACAGCTATTCTTGCATTAAGTTTTTGCCAAACTGGAGCTCCGTTGTGAATCGGGACATGACTAATGATTTGCTATTGATTGAGGAACATAAATGTGGAGTATTTTTTAAATTTTGCAAACTACTCGTTCTTGGACTAGTGGCTCGTTTGTACGGGGATGCAAATGCCATATTGTCACGCAAAAACCTGCAGTAATAACAGTGTGGCGTGTTAGCAGAGACTTGGTCAATTTTCACTTAATTAACCTACATGTAGTTATCATATACGGGTGGTGTTGCTATGCGCACTTTTAGAGATCTCAATTATATATATAATGGTTTTGCCCGTACCCAACGTATGTTAATAAGCACTGTATGCTCAGTGCTGTCCGATAGCTTGCGAAAAAAACCTCACAAGCTTACTCGGGTGGTTTTTTTTTTCGCAAGCTCTCGGACAGCACTGAGCATACAGTGCTTATTAACATACGTTGGGTACGGGCAAAACCGTTATATATATAATTAACATCTCCCCAACGCAAAAATACATCTTGAAAATTTAGAGATCTCCTTGCACTCCTATTGTACTCGTCAATTGTTTTAATGCAGGTTTTCCACACGCGCTCACGTTCATCCTCGGACCCCGGGCAAAGCTTATAGATGACTGCCTTTATTGCATTCATACGCACTGCATCCATTTTGGTCATTCCCCTTACCCCGCAAACATTTGCAATCACTCTCTCCGTGTCCAAGAATAAAAGAGACGCTAACTTTCTGGCAATTTCTCTATAGTTGGGCAAAAGACCTGCCACCTGCTCTACTACTTTCTGGCTCACAACCAATTGTGGTTTGCCATAAATATCGGCAGTTTCTTCCAAGTAACTCCAGATCTCTTCCATCGATTTACTTTTTTGCACTGCTTGGGCATTAAGTATAGTTAGCTGATGAACTTTTTTCTCCAGTTCAACAATGCGTTCCATCATGTCACCACGACACGAGCGACAAGTTCCTGTGCAGGAACACTTGCAAGTTTTATTTCTTGCACTTGGTATTTGTGGAAGTGCGGGGGTAGCCAGAACTTCCAAGTTTGGGGCTGGGAGAGTCGTGAAGCTGGTCCCTGGAAACCTGGAGCTACCGGACGGTTGGTCCCAGGAATCTGATGCATTTGATGACCTTGGGGATGGCTCATTCCATGAGTGGTGGGTTAGTTGGTCAGTGAAGTTGGAAAAAGTTGAGGGTCTCTAGACAGGTGCTGGCTGAGTGCTTGGGTAGTTGGTCATTTGGCTCCAAGAACTTCTTGCCGTTGCTGTTGAGCTCCTCGGAATTAGGGGTGGCTTGGTGTTTGAGTAGTCTTTGAAGCACGATGCTGAGGGACCCTGGTTGGGTGCCGGCTGCTTGCTCGAATGGGGAGTCACCTGCTCTCGGAAGCGTGATGATGTGGGCTCCTGTGTCAGTGCTTGCCGATAGCTGGTGTGGTGGGTCATTTGAGTGCTTGGAAGGGGGCCCAGTTGAGCCGTGAAGGAAGATGCTGATGAGGCCCTCTTGGTTGGTGCTTGGGGAGTGCTGGAGCTTGATGGTGGGTTGAAGAAGGAGTTCAGTGGTGGCAGAGTTGTGCTCGATCCTGTGTGAATCCAGTTGTCTTGACACAGTGGCATTGTGGTGTTTGATGTTACTGCCGTCCTTGAGTTGCTTACCGGCCTACATGTGTAAGTGTATTTGATATGGTCTTGGGAGGGGCATTGTACCTTGGTGGTGGGGTAGGGGTCTTTGGCGGCGGGGTTGGAGATCTTGAAGGGAGGGTTGGAGATCTTGTGGGTGGAGAATCTAGAGACATGTCGCTCTCGCTCTCGTCCAAGTAGCCCGTTCCAGTGGTTTCTTTGCTATAGTCTACTTGTGGGATGAATGCACTGCTGTTTTCATTTTGCTTTCCTTTTTTGTCTGTTTTATGACAATCTCGCACTTCTATTTTCTGTTTCAGTTTGGCTATGGTCTCAGTCACATTGTTTTGGAGATCATCGACTGTTTTCTTTGGTGGTAATTTATAGTATACCCAGTGTCAAATTCATCGCTTGCATCGGTGTCACTCTCTGTCGAATCAGGGCAAACTGTGATGATTTCAGCCATCTTTAAATTGAGAAAATGAAGACTTTCATTCATTATTCTTGGAAAGGTTAAACATGTATTATAATTTCACTTGAGATTTCTCAAGCATTTGATATCCAACACACCCTTGCTGATGTATTTTTTAGTTTTTGTTTCCAAAAAGAACAATTATGTTGGACATGTCGCTCCTACAGCAAGGTTGATTTTTGTTGCACCACTGAGAAACACTGCTCTTATTTTCAAGTAGTGCACTTCCATAAAGAATCAAACCTTTTCTACCTGCACTAATTTGGCTCCTTAGAGAAGTTGCTTTGCCACGCCAGTAATACATGTGGATGCATCAAATATTCAATTATACGGTATTTTGTATGATTGAACAGGTAGATTGGCCTTATGAAAGTGTTCTTTGAAAGTGTACCAAATTTCTTGATGCCGTCTCATGGACTGGATGTGTGCATCTTTATTTCTGTTGATTAAACCTTCCATGGAGAAAAGATATTCCCGATAAAAAGTAACGGTGCGAAATAATCACCTTTTTTGGCTTTTCTTCTGGCTTTTCCCTGTGGCTTTCCTCTTGTCAGTCTTTGGTGGACAACTTTTCTTCTGAGGAAAAAAAAATT